GTTTTTTTTTTTTTTTTTTTTTTTTTTTTGTACCGGGAATCAAACTCAGGATGTTGTGCTTGCCAGGCACATGTGGTGGCACTGAGCTAACAACCCAGTCCCTACCCAGGCATATATTTCTAAGCAAGAAATAATTTTAAAAGAATACAACTAAGACTTGATTATGCTTATTTTATACCGGCACAGTATAAAATATTTTAAAAGAAAGTCACCCCAAAGTAAAACTACTTTAAGCCGCAAGTCATGAGGTGGCCCTGCCTTTAGGCCACCACGGAACCCAAGCTTCTGTGATGCTGGTGTCGGGTAGTTCTAAGGTAGGTGTGCAGGGCTGCAAGGGGAGGACCAGCGGACCCTGCCTGAGCGGCAGGGGACAGCGCACTCAGGAATACCTCAGGTTGTAAGGGGGCAGGAAGGGGCAGGGAACACAAAGGCTGGAGCTGGAAAAGGGGGCAGCACGGGCTGCTGGCACAGGATGAAACTGCCCTGCCTGAGTAGGTGTCGCAGGACATTGCTGGTGGATGGACGTGGAAGGGCGAAGTCAGTAAGACAGGGCTTCTTGCTGGGCGCAAAGCTGAGACCTCAACTGACCGTCTGCACCTACCTGCTGGGCTTGGTGCCCTGTGGGCAGGGAGAGCAGGTTCCCGCCATGCGCTGGGCTGAGCTGACCTCATCTCTGCTCTCCTCACCATGAGCAGCAGGGTGTTTGGGGGTCTTTTCTGTCTAGGAAGAACTGAGAAAACGGATTTTAAATGGCTAATAATGTGCGTGTGTGTGAGTGTGTGTGTGTGTGTGCACGCGCGTATGCACTCAAACACACAACCTTGTATAATTCAACACATTTTCCCCCTGGCTGAAGCCAGCTCCAAATTTCAAGGGATCTCAGAGCCCACATTTCTGGAGCAATGACAGACTTTCCAACACATACCCACTCACATGAGGAAGCTGTGACCTCCCTCTCCCACGTCCTACATCTCTGCATGATCTGCTCTTAGGAATGGGAGCCCTGCAATCAGCACGCCTGCCTTGATGTCTCTTGTCCTGAGTCCCTGGAGGCTTTAGCAGGGTCCCAGCAGGACACCCTCATTCATTCAGGGATGATTGCAAAATGGAAATGCAGGGCTTCCGGTGCAAAACTTAGGCAGAATTTCAGGATGGCACAGCAGCACTGAAGCAGGCACAGGACCACTGTGAGGCTAGGCTGTATCCTCGCACACCCAGGTAGGATGGAGCAGGAGTGGCTGCTGTAGGAGTCACAGCAGACTCCTCCCACCTGGCACCAGCCCAGAGTCAGACCTCAGCCTCCCACTCCTCCCTCCTGGGCCAGCACTGCCTTTCAGGATGAGCAGGTTTGGTCTTGGTGATGTCAGAGGGACACACAGAGCCATGATGCATGGGTGAGGATCTGCAGGCCATCCCCACAGAGAACCAGGAATCTCAGGGTCTCTGGAGAAGTTCCCAAGTGCCACAGCCTTTAAGCACCTGCTGTCTGAGCCACTTGGCAGGCTGTGTAGACGTGAGAGGCAGCCATCAGAGACAAACCCCATGGGGTATGTGAGACAGGCAGGACAAGAGCCAGTCCTGCAGTCAGGGGAGCTAAGTCCCGAGCCCAGCACTGCCATAATCAGCTGTGTGCTCTCAGGCAATTTCCTTAACCTCTCTGGGTCTCCATTTCCTCCTCCCTAAAGCGATGCCCTCCTAAAGCTATGTCAGGAGGTGGTCATGACAGTGTGAGTGGGTATGTAAGTGGGTATGTGTCAGAAAGTATCAGTGCTCCAGAAGTGTGGGCTGAGATTACTTGATATTTGGGGCCGGAGGAAAAGGTGTTGAATTGTGTGTGTGTGTGTGTGTGTGTGTGTGTGTGTGTGTGTGTGTGTGTGGTGCTGAGGATCACAGCCACAGCAGACAAGTGTTCTACTGAGCTATCTCCCCACACACACCTACAGAGTGCATTCAAGAATCCCTATTGGAAATACACCTCACACTCTGGCCCTGCCAGGGATGGCTGCAGGACAAAGGGCCTGCTATTCTATATTCAGTGCCTCCTCCTTAAAATGGAGCCTTTAATTTCTTGTAGGTCCTATGCCTGTAACTTATCCAAGGTCACAGGACTACTGAATAGCCTAGCCAGAACTTGAGCCTTTTTTCAATGTCACAAGCATTTATTTATTCTGTTATCCTGCCTTTGACGTTGTTAGTCAGCTTTCATCACTGTGACCAAACACTTGGTAACACAGCTCAGAGGATGAAGGTTTCTTTGGGCTTCTGGTTTCAGAGAGTTCAGTCCATGGTTGACTGGCTCCATTGCTTTTAGGCCATAGAGAGGCGGAAACATGGCAGAGGGGGTAGAGTGGAAAGCTACATCCAGGAAGCAGAGGGAAAGAGAAAGAGCCAGAGAAGGGTTGTATCCTTCAAACGCCCCAGGGACCTATTCCTCCGGCTAGGCCCTGCCTCCTAATGGCGTGTTCAGCTATGAACTTCTCTGTAGATTAGCCCACTCACCATACCGGGCCACCTTTGACCACTGCTGCATGTGGATCAAGCCCTTGACACAGGAGTCTTGGGGGACCCCTTGTATTAAACCATAGCACATGTAGGGAGGACCTGAGGCTTGGTAAATGACACGTAGACCTAGGACTGGGAAAGTGAGACCTTGCCCAGAAGAAGAAACCCTTGCACATGGAGCCATGCAAAATTGGAACAAGAGTCACACCCTTTCTCCATGCTGTGGATTAAAAGAAAACACAGGCCTGGGGTTCCTGAAATGGAAAAAGCACACAGCTCTTTTCTGGTTGCTGAAATGGAGTGGTGGGAAGGCAAGTTTGACCACGTAGGAGGGAGAGGTTGGTTCCAAGAGTCAGGATGGTCTAGAAGCTGTGGAGTGGGCCCTCAGAGTCAGAAAGCAGCTTCATGCTCTATCTCCGTGGAGCCTTGCACTTCAAACTCACCTCTGTCTGGAGGCAACTCCAGCACAGCTTGGTGATATCCTGTAGGTAACCTCAGAGGTCAAGTCAGGTGCCGCTTCCCTTGTTTTGGTCCTCATCCAGGTGACTTCATTCTAAACCTTTCTTCTTAATCATTACCTGGAAAACTCAAAACAATCAAATGTACATTGTTGTTGAAGCATTTAGAACTTTTTTTTATGTTGCTCTGGCTGAGGCCCTGGACATGCCCAAAATGCACCCCAGCCCACTGCCATCAACACACGCACACACACACACACACACACACGCACGCACGCACGCACATCTCCCAAGCAACATAGAGAAGGCAGATGGAATGGCTGCCCGGCTCCCCTACTCACAGCTGGCAAATGAGCATCCCCAGTGTGAGCCACTGAAACCCAGGACAGCATAGGAGTCTCAGCAGCGCAGATTTTGTCTCTGCTAGGACAGATCTCTGCCCCAGAAGTGGAGCCGGACTTCCGGCTGGCCCCCACCTGCACCCTTCC